ATGGAACGTGATCTACAGGCAAATTTAGCTGCAGAAGTAAAGAAACTTCGAGAGCAACTCAAAGTTGCTGAAGAGAGATTACAATTGCAACGTGATCGTATTAATAACATAGGTCCAAAGGTAGTAGCAGCACATGGAAAAATCAACGTTGGCCGACAAGAGTGCTTTAAACTTGTAACAATTTGTTCAACTTTGGGAAGTAGGATTATAGGAAAAGAATACAAGTACAGTATAAATAGTTATTATTAATAGTAAAACAGACTGATGGGGTAACTCTTCATAATTTATTAATGATATTTTTCAGGGTACCTGAAGCTGGAGCACAACTTTTAGATACTAGACTGAAAGAAGTTGCTAATCATACACGGCAACTTTCGCGGAAAAAAGTACCGTCTATTGACATTCCTGAAATATATGATTTGTCAAAATCAGCAGAAGAAACTGCATCTACTGCGTACACAGAAATTTCACAAAGTGAAAGTTTATTATTAGAAGAGTATAATGTAAATAATGTTGATGCAACAATTTTAAACGAAACGAACGAAGTTGAAAATACTACATCATTAGAAGTAACTACAGTGAACGTAAATGAAGAATCAAGTAAACAAGAAAACGTGGAATTAAATAACATAACTCTAACTAATGATAATAGAGATACATCTGAACAGAATAATAATGAAAAAAAAGCACTACCGGATCAAACAAAAATAAGTGATACTAATGTTGCTACGCCTAGTACTTCTAACTCGAAAGATGCTCAAGATCAGGGTTCTAAAAAATCACCAGAAAGTAACTCAGCCAAGCCTGGATCACCGGAAGTTAGCAACAAAGAAATAAATTCTAAAACATCCAACCAAGAGCTTCAAACGAAGAAGACGCTTTTACCTTATGAATCGATATTGATGCACTTTAAAGTGCCAAGGTGGGTTTTCCTTTCTAGATATATTAATAACTTTGGTTTGCTTATTTGCTAATAACAAATTTTTTGGTCTAAAATCTGTAAAAATGTTGAGCATTTTTTGTGTGTTTTTTGTCATTCTTCACCAGGAACACGAATCCCAATGGCGTCCTTTGTCCATACGAGTTGATGGGGACTTGCAGTGATGGAGATTGTCAATTTATTCATCAAACAGACAGTCAAGCCAAGTAGCATTTAGCTACTAAAGTGGCATTGTTAATTTATATGTAAGGTGGTTTTAATCTTTAATAAGATTCAAAGGACTTAGTGAAATAAGAATCATAATGTTCATTGAAAGCGATGTTTCTGTGATTCGAAATAATTGTAAAACACATTTTTGTTATGAGTAAATGTTACTACTTTTATAATTACAGGTACTGTTTCTGATGAATCAATATCCTATATAGATGGAAGAATCCTGCTAACCAGAAGTAACGTCTGAAGGTGGTAAGTTGTCTTCATCATGGCAGGAGTTTGTGCACAAATTAAAATAACCATTTTATTATGTAAGGATTTTAAATTTTAAACAAAACAAAATTTTTAATACTGTGCTATTTCAAGCTTATTCTAACGAAAGTTTAAAGAAGAATTTCCGCAAGTGTTTATTTTTTACATATGTATAAAGTGTCATATATAAACTGTAAGTAATTAGTGTGGTTAATATAAAAAGAGTAAAAGAAGAGATTGTTGACCGATTGTTGAAGACAGCCGTACAACAGGCCAACGTCGGGCATTGCAACAAATATTCATTTCGTACTTCTATATAAGTTACCTCATAAAAATCTTGTACCTGTATAATAAAAGATTGATATTTTTTTCTAACTGTGAGTTTATTTATTTTCAATGGCAAATTCATTAGAAATGTATCGATCTTGTTTAAACTCCATATTTATCACCCGGAAAATTTCCTTGCTTTTTATATCCATGCCAAGGTAATTTATTAGCAACTCGAAGATCGTCCATCCTACGAATCCATTCGTTTGGGCATATTGTCGTGAAAACTTGTTTAAACCAACTGCATGCATTTGATCCTGCCCCTAAAATATGTTCACACCGATAGAAATCTGTATACATTACATAACAACGTAACGTTTGGTTCTGTTGTTGAAATCTAAAGAACATTTAAAATAATTTTAAATGTTATTGATTTTAGATGCAGGATGGAAATGAAAATATTAAAATATTCAATTAACGTAGAACTAAAACGAAGCTACCTTGGATCGTCGCCAGTAAAAAAAAATTCTGGCTCTTTTGGTTTTTCTTCTACTTCTTCTCTTTTCAAACATGGATCATCTTCATCTACCTCTATAAGTATCTTTTTTTTTGGACTTTTAGTTTGATCTGTTGAGTCATCTGTAACTTGCACCGGATTTATGGGATTTCTTCTATAATCCGCATCCAGTTCATCACTTTTATTAGAAGTCATCGTCTTTCAAATTTGTATTATTTTTAAGTGTAAAAGATTGATTTATTTCTTATAAAAAATTGCAAATAACAAATACAATACGAAATCATTTATACTACGGTTATATTGTATTGCGATAATTCAAATTTTTGAAATTAGGTAAATATAGATAGGAAATCCAGCGCACTCTTTTACCGATACATAAAACTGTTATCAGTAGCTTATTACTTTTTGTTTTTTTAATAAAGCTAACAGAGAACTAGAAATAATAATAAAAATATAGGATCATTTTAATACTACCTTGATAAGAATTTTATTTCACAATTATTTTTCAATTTTACCAATAAAACAATAGATCAAACGTTTGCATTTATCGTAGCCGGCTGTAAAATATATGCAAATTATAATTACAATTCCTAAAGCATGAGTGGCGGTACGAGGAAAGGAACTATGAAAGTACACGTATCACTTGACGTCTTTTATAAAGTGTGTTTTGCCAATATTTAAAAGAGCCATAAAATTAAAATGATATCGCTGGGTCTTTTACTTCTTTATGCTATTGTATTTGCAATAATATGTGTAATTTTGGTATGTTTTTAGGTTATATTATAATTCATATGCCTTCTAAAGTTGTATAAACGTGGCAGTTGTATAAATATGTTTTAAAAATACAAATTTTGTTAAACATATTTATTAATATTTTTTATTGTAATAATAAAATTAATGTTATATACTTTCAGTTTGTGATGGTACTGTATGTGATAACAGAACCATATCCGAAAATATGGCGAGATGACAAAGAAAAATATTTTTTCAATCCAAAAACGGGAACAACAGAAGCTTTTCCTTCTTTATATGATAATTGGAATGTACATTTAAGTGTTATAGTACCTGCATACAATGAAGAAACAAGATGTAAATATTGATTCATTAACAGTAATGGTACATAATATAAAAATATTTTTTTTTTTTGCAGTGCCTCTGATGTTAGATGAATGTTTGGAATATTTAAATCGTCGATCGAAAAATGGATGTACTTATGAAATAATTATAGTTAGTGATGGAAGCACAGATAACACTGTGAAGATTGCACACAAATATGCATTAAAACATGAAAACATTAGAGTACTAGAACTTGTTAAAAATAGAGGAAAAGGTGGTGCAGTAAGACTAGTTAGTAATGAATAATTTTTCAAATGTTTGTAGCATATTCTGCATTTTCTTATATCACAATTCTTTATCACAATTACTTTTATTTAAGGGTATATTAAGTGCAAGAGGTAGTGCAATACTATTTGCAGATGCAGATGGTGCTACCAAGTTTGAAGATTTGGAAAAGTTAGATGAAAGTTTGAGAAGCATTTTAGGATGTAAGTTATTTTCTACATAGCTATTTGAATTAAGCACAGCATAAGATATATGAAAAATGAAAATTTTCTTTTTAGTTGATTATATGAATAAACCAGATGAAGTCAGTTCTTCTCATGCAGTTGTATGCGGGTCTAGAGCTCATTTGGAAAAAGAAGAAACTGCCAAAAGAACCTTTTTCCGATTGCTGTTAATGCATGGATTTCATTTCTTAGTATGGTTTTGGGGTGTCAGAGGTATCAGAGATACACAATGTGGTTTCAAGCTTATAACAAGAGAATCTGCAAGAACTATATTTCAAGCCCTGCATGTTGAAAGATGGGCATTTGATGTAGAAATATTATATATTGCAAGAGTTCTAGACATTCCTATTACTGAAATTCCTGTTCATTGGACAGAAATAGAAGGATCTAAGATAGTACCATTCTGGAGTTGGTTACAGATGGGTAGAGATCTATTTTTTATTTGGTGCAAGTATAGAATTGGTGCATGGAGAATAAAAAGATCCAAGAAAACATAACATAGATGCACATACAAGTGTCTATGAACTTATAAAGTAATAATATTCTATTTATAGAAATTAAAGAAACATTATCTATCATATTTCATATGATAATCATGATATACTTTTCCTTTGTAAGGAAAGTTTATGAACTTTATTTCTACAGTGTTGTAATAAATTCGATTTTATTCAACGATTACACGTTAAAAGTATAATAAATTATTATACATGCAATACAACCTTTTAAACCTATTATTTTAGACTAAGCTTTGCAGATATGTTACCTATTCTGTTACATTCAATCTTTTCTTTATACAAGTACTGTAATATGTAACAATCACCATGTATAAATATTTTATAATTAAAAATAAGTCCTTGCATTTATCATGATTTATTACGACTTTCAAAATATAAAACTGTTCTTTAGTTTTTTTCAATTGTGAAAAGCAATTCGCCAATGACATAGGTAAATACATACTAGCCCGTTAGCAATGAATATAGATTCAACATGACTGGACATGTTTTTGATTCTATTTCTTAGAAATCGATCAAAATCAGCACAAGATCGGAAAATTATTAGAACAACTGTTTGACAAACTTGTATTTCCATAAATTAAATTTTTTTAATTTCGATCTCATCTTCATCTATGCAAAAACGGCGCAAACTGCTCAACGAGTTACCGATTGGTTTTCCGAAAGACAGGAACACTAACATTACCTGTCGGAAAGTAGCGGAGATATCTATATATCTGTAGTCACTGCCGTTAGTAACACGACGTCAGAATTTCTGAAAGCGTGACGTATTGTGACGTCGATTACATTTTCACGATATTTTTTGCCAAACATTTTCCGGGACTGTATTTGGATACTCATAATCAGTTAAAAAGTACTGTTGAGTAATACACCTGATACAAACACTTATTACTTATATCTTGTGATAATTAACTTCAAAAATGTCTTTTGTATCACCTATGCCGAGTCGAGAATTCCTCTGGGACGTATTTCAAAGGTAAATTGAAACTTTTCTTATTTGTTTGAGTAATTAATTTAATATACGAAAATTTTTATGTGAATATCTTCTCACAAGTATGTTCAACTAAAGAGATATTACATACACTTTACTGTGATGGTTATCTTTAAGTATGTCATCTATATATGTAATTACTTACTAATGAACTTTTTGAAGTTTTAATCCTATATATCTGTGTATTTCTATATTTAAAGTTAATGTACATAATTTTCCTAATAAGTAAAAAAAGTATAGATTTTTTAAATGATATGTTTTAGAGTCGACAAAGACAGATCTGGTGCAATTACTGCAGAAGAATTGCAGCAAGCTCTTTCAAATGGAACTTGGACACCATTTAATCCAGAAACTGTTCGTTTAATGATTGGTAATTATGGTGTTTATATGTTTTAAATGATCATGTAAATCAATAGAAAGTTAAATGATGAATGATGTTAAATGATGAAAGTTAAAAGTTGAATGATGTAGTTGGATTATAAAGCACTATGTTCATTGATGCACAATTACATTCATTGATATGTACATACACTGGTACAGTTCCTAGCTAGATTTGCATGGTCCTTTATCTTTAATACATGTTTAGTCAATTTTATTGGTGCAGGTATGTTTGACATTGACAAAAATGATGCTGATTCCTCAGGTATGTTTGATAAAAATCAAAAAGGAACAGTCAGTTTTGAAGAATTTGGAGCTTTGTGGAAATATGTAACAGATTGGCAAAATTGCTTCAGATCATTTGATCGGGATAACAGTGGAAACATTGATAGAAATGAATTAAAAACAGCTCTCATAAATTTTGGATATCGATTATCAGATCAAATTATTGATACTCTTATACGTAAATATGACAGAGCTGGTCGTGGAACTATATATTTTGATGATTTTATTCAGTGTTGTATAGTTCTATATGTAAGTATAGATTTTTATAAAATTTATTATCAATTAAGAATTATAGTTTATTGTTTAAAAATATATGTACTTCTATTACTTTTCAGACTCTGACTGCTGCCTTTAGACAGTTAGACACAGATTTAGATGGTGTTATTACAATCCACTATGAACAGTTCCTGGGCATGGTATTCAATCTTAAAATATAAGATAATATATCTGTATTTTATTGGAACTATTCTTGCCTACATTGGCACCTCAATATTTAAGACATTCATATTATACAAATGTTTGATGCCAAATTAAAAATTTACTGTTTAGAAGTTATAAAAATTTAGTTAAATATATACAGAAACATTCCTAATGGAACAAATATGAATATTTAGCTTATACATCTATCTCTTCAAAAATGTTAATGTAATATATATTTTGCTTTATAACTTATTAGAATGTTAAAAATGAAAAAATATTTGAGCAATTATTACATGTTCTAGAAAATTTTAATACATTTCCAATAGAAAATAACCAACTTTTAAAAATAAAGTTTCCTATACTACATAACTTTTTATATTGTTTTTAGTTTTACTGTACAGAAAGAACTGTGTCAATTACGTATGAAAACGAAACTGATATTAATCATGTTACCTTGAAGTACAATATTTTATATTATTTTAATACCAGTGCACTTATATGAATTATACCCCTTTATATTGTTGTGAAAAATATTAAATAATCTATAAGTCTGATAAAACTATCATAAAGTCAAAATTATTTTGACTGTGCTTTGTTAAAGTATGAGTGCTACATTTAATTATGAGATCTATACTTCTGTATTTTTCTATTAATAAATCAATATGTATTTTAATTAAATACTTATACGAATTAATACACTTATACGTGTATTTGTGTGTATTATACGAATTACTGTTTAAACGAAATTTAAAGACCAGGCTGGCTTTAGACTTCCCTCCTTCCTAACCATGAGTACTTTTAACCAGTTAACTGCGGAATTTAGTTTTAGAAATCCCTCACGGGATACGTAATTAAAACCAAGCAATGACGAGTATACAAGTCGAACGCAGTGCAAATACTCTTATTATGAATTTTACGAAAAGAGTAAAACGAGGAAGGATTATATTTTTTATTTTACACGACGAGTGTACGCGTCAACCGCACCGAAATAAAGTTTTGCATTTATGCAAATTTTTACTTTCATTCAATAATGAATTCCTCTCGAAAATTGTTATAAGAAAAATATTTGTTAGTCAACATAGCGAATTTCTATCAAATGAAAAGCAGAAATTATGTGTTCTGTGGACAAGACCGAGATCTGGCGTCTGACCAGAGTCATGGATAAAGTCATGGCCCTTCCAATGTACAACGTCTCTTCTTGAAATATCTTCGCCAGGATTGATTTCTTTCTACCATTGTGTATCAAACAACTTCGTTCTTTCTAAATTCCATATTTTGTGATTTTCTTTTTATTTTATTTTTAACCGACTTCGAAAAGAAGGAGGTAATTAGTCATTTGTAATTAGTCAAAAATCATACAAGTTCCTTTTGCAGGAACTATAAAATTACTATAGTTATACGTTCTATATGGTAATATTGCAATCCGGAAAATACTTTTCTGAATTTAAACTGTTGTATCCCAATTAAAAAATATATAAATCTTCTTATCGTAGCTCTTAGCTTGATATCGTTTTCTAAAAGTTATCTTCAGAAAACGATATCAATTACCAGGTCACACCACATGGAGGTGGCTACGTTAGTGACCCACCCTAAAATCATAAGAACGTGAAACCATTCAAAACAGACAACATAAAATAAAAATTTAAACAACACAATCTAGAAATAGAAAATAAAATTAACATCCTAATATCAGAAACAATTGAGACAATAATAATAATTTAACAATAAAATGCTGTAAGGGAAAACATAATTATTAGGATTAGATATACAATAACATGAAACCATTCAAAACAGACAACATAATATAAAAATTTAAACAATACAATCTTGAAATAGAAAATAGAATTAACATCCTAATATCAGAAACAATTGAGAAAATAACAATTCAACAATAAAATGCTGAAATAGAAAATATAATTAACATCATAATTTCAGTAACAATTAAAAGATAATTCAACAATAAAATGCTGAAATAGAAAATATAATTAACATCATAATTTCGATAACAATTGAAATGAAAAATGCCGACAACAGAAAATATAATTACCATTACAATCTCAGAGTATGTTTTAAATAAATAGAACATAATTAAAATAAGAACATGAAATATAATTGATGTGCAAATCAATAAGAAAAGAATAATTTATTTCAATAAAGCAATAAACGAAAAAGAAATAGAGGAAATAAAATCGCGATTTGACCATTCAACGAACTGGGTATTGAACTCGTAAAATTTCGAGTAATATTAAAAATTGTAATATTATAGTAAATATTGTAATATTATAGTAAGTTAAGATTGTTAATAAACGATACAAATCCCACATCCTAACCACACACACACATGTGAAATTTCTATCGTGGTTCACTATTGGTTCACTACTTTTGTCAGTCGCCAAAATGTATTACACTTAAAACTAAACCTTGTCCACCGCCCTCCACCCACGCGAGTACATCTAAATACCCGAATGAGCTTTGGGCATAAAAATGAACAAGGCCAAAGGTATTTTCACCTACCAGTTTTCTTCATGTGTGCTGAAATGCCTAAGCTAAAACGTATGATTAGCAAAAACTAAAGATGATATTCTCACTTTATTAAAAGTAAGAATATCGGCGAAATTTCACGGCTCCGATTTAGTATATGGGCTGCCCCCCCCCAAGGGAGTTTTATTTTTAATAAAAGTGACTCGACTTTGCAAATATAAAGCTTGAAGAGCAAATACAGGAAAGCAAAATTGAGCAACTATGACATAAAACATGGTGCACTTCTAATATCGGCTGGCAACGAAGGTTTTCGGGCCCCCTGGACTTACGCCCGACGCTACATACCACCCACCCCGCCTAGGAAAGGATGCACCCCTTCGCTAAGAGCGCTACCCGCCCGTCCAACACGTTGCATCCAACGTGTCAGATTGACGGACGCCCATAGTATAGGCAAAAGGACTGCAGTTTATTAAATGGAACATATGGATGTGCGCCACATTCTAAACTGCGCCTTGAAAGGCCTAGTAATGCATGGTTTTATCTCCCATGAGATGGTGTTCACGGTCTTATGCCGCGGAATCCTTGTAACTAACTTGATTAATTAAATAAAACATTGAGTTTAAAAACCAAAAGGATTCCCACCGAATACTAGTAAGTGCATCGTCATAGTTACTCTCGCGCTGGAAATTTTTCGCAACACTACTTAAACTTGAAAATTCTAACGGGGTAATATTTACTCTCTCGTTTAAAATTTTTCGCAACGCTACTTAAACATGAAAATCCTAACGGGGTAATATTTATTCTCGCGTTGAAAATTTTTCGCAACACTACTATAACTTGAAAATCCTAACGGGGTAATATTTCACTACACAAGGGTATGCGGGTGGATAAATGATTATATGATAGAGTTCGTGATGCTGAAGTGCGAATGATGAGTGTTTAGGGTCGAGAACCGGTAACGTGACAGAATGAATTTCAAGTACGAAAGTGGAACTTTATACAATGCTTGAAGAGCAAATACCGACCCCCCTGGGGGCCAGCCTATATACTAAACTGATGCCAATTTCACGAGTAAAATCGGAAAAACGTTTCAATTTCAAGAGTGATTTCGTTATCAAAGTAAGTAGTTATAATAATTAATAGTATTCATGCTTATTACTTTGATATTGAAATCCGCTCGTCGCGAAATAAATTCTTGTACATATAAAAAAGAAAGTGTATTGTGAAGTCGGAGGGTCATCCGACTTCTCTACATTTTTAAACTCGAAATCTATGTATGTAAATATGTACAAGAAAACCCTATCCTGAGCTAAGGTATAAAATACACAAAAAAGTAATTTGCACGATTATCATTGTATAAAATGATACAGTGATATTCGTGGGTCACTATGCTCGCTTAAAAAATAAAAATTACAACCAATTCCCGTGTCGCTACGGACCACTCATCCTACGACATGATGGGAACCGGAGGAACTTTAAAGCATGCGACTCACCGATCGTTGACTTGCACTACTGCACTCGCCACACATCTTACAATTAGATTGATCCATAGCTCGACTGTTGGCTCGTCAAAGAAACGGTACCCCTACTAGCCAAAGCACTCATCTGGAAGCATAAAAATCACGATTCTTGAACGATATATGTTTTCTCTCAATTTGTTGTAGTTAATATGCTAATACATACTATAATTTAAAAATATGCATGCAAAACCATATGGGAATAACTACATCATAAAATACGGTAAAACGCATGCAAATAAATACATCCCAAAACACATGAAGATCAAAACCATAGAACACCATAAAATGTTTGCAAAATTGTAGTAAAACACATAGGGTACCACTCCAGAAAACCTACTAATAAATCCGTATAAATATACCAAAACACATAGGGTACCACTTCATAAAACCCACTAATAAATCCATAAATATATGCCAAAGCACAAAGGAAACCACACCATAAAACACAATAAAGCACATGCAGGTACATGGGGTACCACACCACACAGCACACTAATGCACTTGTATAAAAATGTCAGAACACATGGGTGACCACACCATAAGACGCACTAATATATCCGTATAAATATTCCAAAACACATGGGAAACACTATAGGAAACACCATAGGCACACATAGAAACACTTGTGGTAACACACTGATAAATCCATGCACGAATATCCATAGTGTCAACCCGTACCGGTATATGTTTGGCAGCTCCATCCGTATCCTTCGGCGGTCGCGATAAGTGACTAGATCTGACCTTCCTCCAGGTCGCCGTTGTACCGGCGCGCGACGCGCCCAGTCAAGCATGACGTTCCGCTTCACCGGTTCAGCGGCCGGTTACATTTAACTACTTCTATCTGATATTTGTTAATATTTGTTTAATTATTATTTTATATTTTACAATTGTTTATTAATCAAATTATTGTTATATCTATTTAAATTGTTTATTTCTTTACACTTCCGCGTGGGTATATTGCAAAATTTTGTTTAATTATTCTATTAAAAATTATTTAATTATTATTTTTAATTTTACAATT